AATATTCATTAATTTAATAATAAAAAAATATATATAACTGAAGCCAGGTAATTGAAATATATAAATCATAGAACAAGTAATTGTAACGTCAAATTATGGATGTATCTAAAATAAATCTACAAAAAAATAACGTAACATGCAGACAACATAAAATACACATATCTTTCAAAGATATCCATACATTCACGTTTTACTTAAATACATTAAAATACAAAAAATATTTCAAATACACAGTAGTTGGAAGCATATCACATACACATTTTATAGAAAATAAAGAATATGTCAACTAAGGATTAATAAATTATTCACAAGGAAAAACAAAACAAAAAAATTTTTAATGAAGTTTTTTTTTAATAAAAAAAAATTTTATTAACTAAAAGTGTTAGCAAGACAATATTATATAATTAAGATTGAAGTAGCAGTCAGTATTGAATTTGGCACAGTTAAAAAAATTTTGTAATAGACTTTGTTGTAAAAAATAGACAAGATACAAGAAAATGTAGATATTTTATTTTAAAAATATGACAAAATATTGTACATAATTTTGGTGTTTTATATTTAAAAATTTTATGGGGTTATGTTCAACAAAAATATGCAAAATAAAAATTTAACCAGTAAGAGAAACAGTTAGTTGTGAGAACGGGCGTTTGAATCCATGAATGTATTAAATGGTGATTGGTGCTCATTGAATCTGTTGGGGTCACTAAGTCCTCCAAGATCCCATAACAAATAGATACTTATGGGGGGTATGGATCCAGGAGTTCCCTTGTCTTCTGGATTGGGTTCAAAATTGCAAAGCTACGGAATTTAATATTGGTAGTCGTAAACTGAAATTGGGGTTGGTTGTTCAACGACGGTTATAAAATAATATCTGTATGTTTCTGTTTCTACTTTCAATATTTTAATTTTGATGTAATAAAAGCACCTCTCTCTTGCTTTTTCTAAAAATATTTTATAACACCTCATAACTAATAAAATTTAGTTACACCTCATTATCAAAAGTTTTACCAATGGACCACAAAGAAAAAAAAAAAAAGCAAATTTTAATACTTTTTATAGAATATGAAGCTGAACTTTAGTAATAAATTTTTTTTGGGAGAACACATGACCTTTGATCAATCACATTAGATAATTACCATCGAATAAAAGGGCCCTTTACTGTAAAGGTAAAAAATAATGTTTCCTAAGGGGCAAGAAATATAACAAATAGGGATTAAAAAGTTGTTTGTCGGTTATCACTTTATTCTTTGTCGAGAATGTCCCCACATACATTTTATTTTCTTAAATAAATATGGAATTATTATGAATGTTTCATAGCAGTCTGAAAATAATTTTACTTCATGCTTATTTCTTAAAATTTTCCTTTATTTTATAAATAAAGCTTGTAATGTTTACCTTATCGTGAGAAATTCTTCAAAGGAAATGCCTTACACTATTAATATTTAGTTTTTTTAGTTCAAAATTTCCATTTTTTGTTTTTTTAAAAAAGTGACCACTGTTAGAATGCTGTAATCGGTAACCAGCAAAATTCCTAATTTTGCCCTATACTCTACTGTATTTAGTAAAGAATTTACTTTAAAAAATCAATATTTTATTTATTATCAATTTTCTGAACTGATTTCAAATAGTTACTTTTATTAAAGCTTAAAAAAATTTATCATTTTTTGGTAATTTCTTTTAAATATACTTCAATATTAATACAGGGTGCGTAGCCAAATCTTTGAATCAAAAATAAGCACTTTTTAAAAACTTTTCAAGCACTTTACAAAAATTTTCAAGCACTCAAGAAATTTATAATCAATCAATGATATTTTTGAAAAACAAAACTTTTTATAAACAATTTTAGAGTTAAAAAAACCCAAAAAGAAACGGGCAAAAAATTGAGTGAATAAAGTGAATTCAACTTGACCCTGAACTCAGAACAAAAGTACCCTTACCCCCTACGTCAAAAAAAGTGTTAGAAGTAAAATAAAATAAACAAGAACAAAATTAAAATAAATTAAAAAGAAAAACATTTCATAAAGATCTGATATTCTCTATCTGAATTGGAGCACTCGGGTTTCGGTTTCAAGCGTGTGCGCATGCGCAAGTCATAACATGGGTACGACATGAAGTCCGCGTGAATGATTACATAGCAAACTCCACATTTTTCGTGAAATGCATGGGATCCACCAAATATCACTGAAGGAGAAAAAAAATTATTCCGAAAAAAAAGCACTTTTTAAAAACGCCAGCTGAAAAAAGCACCTTTAAAAGCTTTTAAAAACGGAATGCCCAAAAAAGCACCTTAAAGTACTTTTTACAAACGCTACGCACCTTGTAATATCAATATATTTTATATATCAATTATTTCAATATTAATATATTTAAAAAATATTCAATAAACTTATATTGCTCATTAACTCACAATTAAGAATGGTTGAAAAAGATTCTATAAGAAATACTATTTTGAGATAAGTTTTTCTAAAAATTAATTTTAAAATAAAATGCATAAATGTGCAGAATAGTAAACCTTGGAAGTTACTGCTAGGAAAAATATGTAGAATAGTAAATTCAAAACATATCTATTTTTTTTCTTTCTAGTTTTCAAGAAGTGGGGTTGCTAAAATAACATCTATTACAAAAATATTGTCAACTAACACTATGTAACTGCAAATATTTTATAATTGTGTTTCTTTTTAAGCTCAAGCTATTTCTACATTGAAGACAAATAAAAAGAAAAATGTACACCCTTAAAAATAAAAAATATTTTATGTACATGATTTCTCTATTTAATGATAGTGACTTGGTTGTAAGAATCACACTTTGCAACATTGATTGTTTAGTCTTATTTACTAAAACATTCATAAGAGACGAAGATAAAAACATCTGAACATCAGTCTTTAATGGAAGCAAATTTTAAATATCTTGAATGTTAAAATGATATACATTCTTTTTTAAAATTAACTTTTATTTATAAAATAATTCAACACAAAATTTACTATTTTACTGATAAAAAATAGATACATAAAAAAAAGAAGCACCAGCTTAACATTTTTTGAGTTTATACATTAATTTAATTTTACTCAGAAATGATTACTATATACAAATATCAATAAATAAAAATGTATTAGGAAGTTAAGATACGTGTGATCAAACATGAGTATATTATGAAAATATTAAAAACTACTTTGAGTATTTTTTTCCAATAGCTAAAACTATAAATATGAGTATACAAATTCATCAAAGATAAAACTAAGAAACAAATTAAAGATATGTTTTACAATTATTTTAAAGCTCATAAGTTGAAATTGTGTATATTAGTAAGAAGAGAAAAAATAATATCCATTAAGTTTTTATGAGTATGGTTGAACTTCTGAGTAACAAGAAATGGTTGAAAATTTACAGATACCCCTTTTCAGAACTAAGTCATTTTGAAACAACAAACAGCGATTGAACCCTTCTTAAGATATTGGTTCAAATAAAATTTAGTAATCTAAAATATTAGATTATGAAAATTCCACTAAAATCATAAAATTTATCGTGAAAACAGGCAAACCAAAACAATTTGGAAAATGTTGTTACAAATTTTACCTTTTGCTCAAAAGCATAATTTTAACAATGCAACAAAATTTTCACAACTCATTTCAATCTGAGAAAATTTTATAAATATCTGTAATATTTGAAGCATTTTCAATTACACATGTAAAGACAAAATTTCTACAATATAAATAAATATCTACATAATAAATCTTATTAATAATAAAAAATTTATTAGAAAAAAAAATGCTAATAATTTTAAAATATTTGCAGAGCATATGTTAAAATAAATAACAAAACAAAAATTACAAGCCCAATTTATCTTAAGCCATTTTTAAAATTGAATTTACACACATCCTTAAATACATAAAATATTTTTTATTGATAATTTTTGATGTTACATTACAGTTATTTCAGGATGATAGAAAGAAAAGGAATAAATTTTTTTTTGGAGCTTAATATCAAAAATCTAGCAATCTTTGTACAATATATGCAACTGAAAAAATATTTTGATTATTTTTTCCACTAATGTAAAGTTTTCCATGAAAGCAATGCACTGTATAACAGATATTTATTTACGCATAGACCTTAGCAACACCAAAGGCAATTGAAGTGTGAAGGCCACTGCATAGTAGGCTTTTAAAAGTTCAGTAATTGTTGACAATTGGTAAATGAAATCGTGTTTTTTATTCTGATAACACGTGGAGAAAGGCAGCTCATATAGGTCAAGAGATAAATGTATGTATTTTAAAAAAAGTGCAAACTTTCCTCTCCTTTAACTCTTTGTATAAAACAATTTTTATTACTTTTTTTCTATTTTATGTGCTGAGCATTAAAAGCAAGTTCATGAGTAAAAAGTTTAAATTAAATAAATTTATTGATTAAAATGTAAGGAAAGTTATATGTCTTTCCGTATCTTTTCAAAATTATTGTAATATAAAAAGCTTCTAACAAACTAATGTTTTGCAAATAAGTATTATAAAAGTAAATTTAATTTGGATGGTGTAAATACAATAATAAAAACATGAGTTTGACTAAAATTAACTTTATAATATATTTCATTCATAATAAAAATAATAATAAATAAAAATAAAAAAAGTTTATTTTAAACTAAGTCATACTTTATATGTTTGAGCTTCATTATAATTATAAGAATCACAATATGTAATATAAGCTGTAAATAAAGGTAAGACTGACTTGTCAAAGAAAAATTATAATGTTTACATTAGCCATTTGTTAATGTGCCAAAAAAATATAATTTTTTTAGCATTCCTAAATAAAGTTCATTTATTAATTTATATTTTTTCTACAATATTCTTAAAAATGTCAGATGGTGCTTCCTTTGAGTTAAAAAGAAATATTTTTGAACACAATTTTTATGCCACACACAAGAAAGTTTATAAATAATCTATATATATATATATATATATAAAATACTAACAGTGCAATTTACAAGCACTGGTAGTAAAAGCTTCACCAAGTGACTTTGAGAAAAAGGAGTCTTCAAGATGCATCTTCAAGTTCCTTGGTTAAAATTCTTGAACGAAAACAATTCATCATTTTCTTTTTTACACCCTTCTGTGAAATGCAAAGTTCTCAAAATTTTTTAAATAAATATATAAGGCTCATTCTTGGAAGATGAAATGATTTGAATTCCTAATTTTCACACAATTGAGTTCACTCAACAGCAAATCCACATGTTTCTTCTATAGCTTGAGTTAATTTTTCATATAATTTTTCATAGGATTCGTATGGAGGAATATCGATGCGGTTAAAACTAAAAACAAAATATAGCTACATTAGAATATATTAAAAATTTCATGATTTAAAATCTTATGTTAGAAGTGCTTAAGAACAAATAAATTACGATGAATTAAGAGTCCAATTTATTTTTTAATATATGAAGGCAACATTTCACTTTTAGAAACAAAAAGTTTTGTCAAATCAAAAAATGACCCACTCTTAGAATTGCTTATTAAATATATAAAAAATACTGCCTTATAATAAATTTTCCATTTCAAAACTGAACTATTTACAGAATTGTTTGACAAATATACACAGAAAACTGCCCCATACCATGGCATAGGTAGTGTGAAGCAAGACGAGACATCTGTCCGAGGGGTGAAAAATTTATGAGAAAATTAAATATTCTTTGTTTCATTTACTTATTGCAGGCCCCATAACTTCTTAAAATATTTATACGATTTACCTAAAAATTTAACAGTCAGAGAGTAGCTAGTAAAAATTTGCACATAGAATCTTTTAAAAATTTTTCTCCTTAATAAATTGGCGACAGACTAAAAAATGTTTTTGTCTTCAGGAAAAATATCATTCTACCAAACGCAATCAAAAAGTATAATTGAAGCTATATTCGTAACATACATTGTTGTATTTTAAACTGAATCAAAGTAAAATTTATGAAGTTATCAAAGTACGATGTGTTAAAAAACATTATGTAAAGTTTCAAAATCTTATTCAATGTAATTTTTTTATTTTTAAAAATGCCAATTGCAGAGGATTTAAATTTTCACATCATCAATAACATAAAATGGTCCTGAAAAAACCCCTTTTAAGCTCTGAACCAAATTGCTAACAGGTTCAAAAATCGAGTTTGTCCCCAGGCACTGTAAATCTTAGCTATGCTTCCGCCCATTCAGTATTGAATTTGCCTTCACAAAATTATTAAAAAAATACCCCATTTATAGAATTGTTTGCTAATAAATAAATTTATGATAAATGTTGTCTTATTAATGAAAGCATCACAATATTCTGTGCCATTTTTACCCTTTTCAATTAATATTCATGAAATACTTATCAATACTGTCAAATTATGTTAACCTAATAAAATAAACTTTTTTGAAATATTTATAGAGAGGTTCTCCTATGAATATATTTTTTGAAAAACTCTATGAATGAGCTTAACAGATAAGAATGAGCTTAACAGATAACTTCGTGAATGAAGTTATAATGGTAATGTTAGGGGAATTTAATTATTAAAATAAGCCTATTTATCAAATAAACAATATTTAAACCAGGGCTCGAAAAACCACCCCTCCTCGGCGGTCAAAAATTCCCCGCAGAGGGCCATTTTTCCGTTAATGTTCGTGATACATTTTTAATTTTTGTTATCTAACAAGAGTCTAGCTACTCACTTCTAAAATGACCTTCTAATCTAGAAATATTGCAACATACTGCGCATGGAGGAATTGATGTTTTCTCTGTCTGGGAGTACTGCAGCACTGTTGAAAGGGGCTCTTCAGCAATGAACTTACAAAAAACACATTACGTACTGGTCTTAAACAAGAAGCGTTAAACGCAATTATGAACATCTACCTAAATGGAAAACCCCTTTCGGATTTCTGTGCAGAAACCTCTGTAAATCATTGGCTTGGTTGGGGAACTGGCAAACGTCATATTTGATTCATTTAAAAAACGCAGTAACCTCGGATAAATTGACATTCCAGATAACTTGACCTTTGTCATTTAAATTATTTCATCAAAGAAATACTAGGTTTTACTATTAGTAACCTAGTATTTCTTTTATTACTGTATAATGCAATCCTAGTAACTACTAATTCATTGTGCAATTTATATAAATGCTTGTAATAAATAAGAGAAAATTATATTTCTATTTATTTAGAAGCTACGGGTTAGTTTCAAAAGACGGCGGGTACATTGTTCGACAAGCCATCCTGGGGGACGTGTAAAATTTCTGAGTTTTTTTAAGCCCTGATTTAAACTAATTTCCTAATCAAACAATTAAGATAATTACTTACCAAGTATGAGCTTTAGGGAGGTTATCTGAACTAGCTTCTATTAGATGAATAGTAAATAGCCTTGGTCCAGCAGCACCAGTAGAACCTATCCCATAATAAAAACAAGAAATTATTTACTTAATCCCTAAAACATAAAGAGCTAAAAAAGTAACAAAATTTTGATGAATCATTCCACAAACATCCACTATTGGTCATTAACAACGTGAATTTTGCTTAAGTAAATATAATTAACAATGTAGAGTATCAAAAAGTAATTAAAAAAAATTAGGACATTAAAAATCAAACAGGGTAGATCTTTTATTTACTTATTTAAGAAAATGAATAAAAACTATTTCAAAGCTCTAAATTTTGTTAAGTTTCTAAAGGCAAATACAATTGTATTCTTTCAATATTATGGTTTGAAAATATAAATTCTTATTATCCTCAATATTATATTTAAAGATAAATTCTTATTCTATTGAAGCAAAAGTTGAATTTTTGCTATTTGCACATTTCTTTTTCAACTTAATATAACTTATAAATACCACAAGTTTAGTTAATAGTGAGCAATTCATACTACTGCATTATTATTTGAGCTACAAACAACATAAACAGTATTCTTAATGAAAACTTTAAACTTCAGTGATAACTAATAAATAACTTTATTCACAAAATCTATTATGCAGGACTTTAATAATCTAATAATATAATTTTAAGAAGAACAGTATTATAAAAAAAAATGATATACACCGAGGGACTTAGGCACAAGACTTGTTCATTTACAAAATGCTTTTAAACTTTTTATAACATAAGTAAATTATAATACATTTGTGAATTTGTGCCTATATTGAATTCAATTTTCGTTAACTCATAATTTGAAGTTTTTAAGGAAAAACATATACAAAAAGTATTTGTAACATTTAGGGGCCCCACAGAAATATAAGGATCCTTAGACTGTTCTCTTAGTCCTTATTATAAATCCAGCTCTGTGTACAGTCAAACTGCTGTAGTTCGATTATAACTTTAAGTCTACTTTTCACAAAGTCCCAATCCTTTAATCTCTAATTTCAAGTTAAATATTCTAGATTACTCAATTTGTACTGTCTTCATTCAAAAAAGATGCCATAAAAAATCTTTTATAGCAGAAAAAAGTACAAATTTTCATCTTAACTGGTCACTAGGTCAGTAAAAGAAATAGATTACAAAAAAAAAAAAAAAAAAAAAAAAAAAAAAAAAAAAAAAAAAAAAAAAAGATCAAGCAAAGTTTACCTTGTAAGGCTTTGAATCCTTGTAGTGGCACACGGGAGCTTCCTGTAACAAATTGAAGAAGTCTTGCTCTTTGCTCTTCACTATAACTGTCAACAGCTTTCCAAAACCATTTTACAATATTTGTGTCAGGGTTACAGTGTTTCAGGCGAGTATTTATTTTCCAATCCTCTAAATCAATTTTTCCTAATCCACCAATAACAAGCTAGAGTTTAAATAAAATGCAAAGACTATTGTTAGAAAAGTATTGATGCAATGAACACAAAATACTCAAAATTTTAACTGGAATGGTTTAGATTTTTATTTTCTGAGTATCACAGAAAATTTTTAAAATTTAATTCATTCTTAAACAAGCAATTTGAGAATTTTCTACATCTTGTTCTACTTTAAAAATTGTATTAAAAGTGATTTTAATGCATGGTTAAATTCTTTTCTTAGACCATTAAAAACATTTTTGCTTTAATGGTTAAGGGGATCTAGAGAGCTTTTCCTAACAAAATTTTTAATTAAAAAAAATATATATGATACAACCTATTTTATTCTAAACAATTTGACACCAAATATAAGATAACACTTAAAAAAATTTCAAAGTTATAATAAAAATACTGAAACCCTCTCAGTGAAAACGGAATTTCAAGTATTTTATAGAAAGTTATTTATTATTTAAAGTTTGTCCTTAAATTTTTTTTTTCTTTTCAGAATTCAAACTTTTTCACCTTGTGTACAAGATTTCTAGAAGATCTTGTTAAAACTGGGTAATTAGTTCCAAAAATTAATGTTCTTTTAATTGTAAAAATATTTCTTTATTTTAAATTTTTTGAACAAGAATAGTACACATGGAATAGTTTAGTCATTAACATGATTTCTATGATCTTAATCATGTATACAAGATGCCATAGTATTTTTTCCTTTCAAATTTAAGCTCTAAAAAAACTTGACTTAAATTATAAGAGTCCTTTGCATTGTTTCAAAATTTTTTTTACATATAAATGTTTGTACTTATGTTAAATTCCAATAAGAAATTCAACATTTTTAGTTAAATTTTAGATAGGTTATAGAAAGTCAAAAAAAGCTGTACATAGAAGCTTTCTTGATGCAACCAAAACCATCCACTTAATAAATTTAAATATTCTGTGCAGTAAAAAAAAAATTTAAACTTTTCACGCAGTAAAATACAGCAATATATAACATGAAAGCCAATAACCCAAAAATTTCTTAAGTGTGCACAATTAATTTAATATGTTTTAAAAAAAGTAAAAAAACCAGCAAAATTAATTCACAACAAGACAACATTCTTTTTTAGCTTTCATATGACATAATATTAATAATACATGAAAATTGAGAAATCTGTTAAGCAATTATTTTAGCAGTTTATAAGTAATTATTAAATAAGTCATATTTGACTCCTACTTCGTTATCTGCCAATTTTTTCACTCTAAACTGGTTTGTCCCTACACTGTATGTGCTGCACTAAGTTGGACACAATGCATGTTTTTTTTTTAAATCAAAATTTCTGGTAAAAGTAAAGAAGTAAACATGCACCAGAGGTATCAGTAATTGATTGATTGAATGTAGGGTTTAGTGGCACAAGGTCCAAACGAGGACACGCTGCACCAAGAGGTACCAGTAAAGAGGTTAAACATGTTTCAGAAAATTTTAAAAAAATATTTTAGAATGCAAAATTATTTCAATGGCACTGTAAAAAGTACATTTTATAAAATAAATTTGAAGCCAAAAAACATAACTGCAAATTTTTTTAAAAATACAATTAGGTTTTTAAATATGGTTTCATTATTTAAAAATAGATTTTAAATAAAATACCAACCTCAAGCTCTTTCTCATCAAATGATTTCAAGAAGTGTTGGGGTATCAACTCATTGAAGCCTTTCATGAGTGATAAGAATTGTTGCTCTATACCTCGCATGAAACGATAGTTTACATATAACCTGCAATGGAGAAATTATTATTTCACAAAAAACTAGGTTATTAAGTTGTTGTGAGATGCAATTTTAAATGCAGGTTAAAAAACTTTATTAAATAATTAATTACTTGTACAGAATTATGTTTTCAGTCCAAGATACAAATATTAAGGAACATTACAAAAAGATCAAATTCTATTTTTTTTATTAGCATGCATTGTTGGGGTGTTTATAATACAAGGTTGAGTCAAATGAAAGCGAGCTAACCCACCCCACATAATAATGACTCAGTTTATTTTTTGCAATGTATGCACATAGAACATAGACATCTCTCAACTGTGAAGCGTTGGTATGAAAATATAAGTTTTTCAATGCACTCATACAGTGGGTTAAACACAATAACGTTGACATGCTGTTAAAGACCAACAGTATGCTGTAGTTAGGTTTAAGCTATAAACCTAACCTACTATACCTATAGGTATATATTAGATTATAAACGCCTAAGGTTGGACCGTCTTGGGCTATTACTGGTCGAAATTACTAAACCAGGTGAGACCAAATCCAGTAGTGTGAAACTCTGGACTGGCTGTTTGTTGCAATCAAGAACAAACCACCAGGAAAATTGACAAATGGGGTCATTTTACTATACTCAGGGATGAGATTAGCCAAAAGGCAAAAAAGCTGAATTTCTACACTAGTAAATTTTACGCAAGCGCAACCCTTTAATAATAAATTCCAGGCAGTTTAAGATAATAAATAATGTGTTGACATACAATTGTGTACTAATCTATTATTATATAAATGATTACATTGATACTTAACATTTAGTGAAAATAAAAATTACCAATTGAAAAAATAAACCTGGAAATTATATTTTTCCTCAGTTCACATGAGAGACTTATTACTTGAAAAACTACCTGGTTTAGCAAATAAAAACTATTGAGTATATACATAAATATTTCATTTCTTTTAATAAATACTGTTATGTGATTTATAGCAAATGTATCAGTAATATTACTTTTTGAATTATTTTGGGGAAAAAAAAAACTACAATGGGCAGAATCATTATGTTCATATTATAGTCTAATCTAACTAGAGCCCTGTGAAACATATCAATAACGGTGAAGTAGAAATATATAGTAACTCCTTAACATACAAAATTGCTATTTTAGTTTGAAAAATTAAATGACAATCAGCAACTGTTTAGATAATTATTTTTCATTTGATAAGAATTTTGCATTTTATAGCATAAATAACAGCAATTATAATTTAAAATTTTGATGATGAGTTAATTAACTCCTTTTCCAACAAAAAAAAAATTAACCACTTTTTAAGTGATTGCTTTTGTTTGCTATATCTTTTATGTTTGCTATATTTTGTCGTTAGTCCATCTTCAAACATTTTGTGACAAATCTTACTTTTTCTTCCTTGCAAGCACAGAATGTTAGTTTTGAATATATTCCCTTCCAGTTTCTCAGATGTTGATACTAATAATCGTCGTTAGAAAAACAGTCACCTTTATAGTAACTAATTTTAAAAATTTTTTTTACTTCTTACAAGAATCGCGATAGTTGATCTTAAAATTGCGTGAATATGAGTAACAATTATGGATTTGGAAATCACATGAATATGAAACTAGATATACGATTTTGAAAATGAGAAAATACAAACTGGGATATAGAATTTTTAAAACGTGTAAATACAAATCACGATTCATAATTTTTAGATCGCGTAAATACGAATCATGATGCATAATTTTTATATTGCATAAATAAGAATTATGATGCATAATTTTTAGAATGTGAATTTTAATGTCTTATTTTTAAATCACATATAAATACGAAAATTAATGTTTGATATTATAACCGCATGAGCAAATCAAGACATTGAATTTTAAACTCGCTTGAATACGAATCGCTACATTGGTCTTAGAAAGGCGTAAATACAAATCACAATATCGGATTTTTAAACCTCGTATATAAGAATCGCAATGTACAATATTCAAATCGAGTGAATAAGAATCGCAACATGCAACTTTTATATTACGCAAATCTGAAAAGCTATGTTTGATATTAAAATCGTGCCGGCCGATGGTCGAGTAATTAGCGTGCCTGACTGCAAGCCATTGGCTGCTGGTTCGAATCCGGCGCAGGGCATGGATGTTTCACTCTGTGTTTTGTTCTCTATTGTGTGAATGTGGCCCGCCCTGTAAAACAGGTATGTGGCAGTGTGGCGTGGGTAATGTCGCTCGCCTCCGTGACTTAGGTTCACAGGTGCCCACTGGATAACGTTAAATGAGTAACATTTCTGGCATCTTCCTCGGTGAAAAACATTAAAGTTCAGTGCCTGGCGTTAGGAAAATAATAAATAAATATTAAAATCGTGAGAATAAGAATCGGGATATTAGCAGATTCCAGGCTTGGGACCTCTAAAAGACTTGTCAGAAGCAGCGTCGTTTGAACTACGAAAATCGTAGCTATCTGGCAGACGGGTAAAAATGCAGAAAATCTCATTTGCTGCATGTAAAAGGGGAGAAAATAGCTAAAATAAGTAAAAATGAGGAAGGATTGGTAACTATGTAGTTCGAATTTTCTGTTTCTCTTTGAAAATCGGTGAATTTTCTGAAAAAGCGGAATATTTATTAAAAAATGTGAAATTTTTAGAAAATCTGAATTTTTTGATATAAAGCTGAAATTCAAGAGATAAAAGTGAAAAAGGCGGAAATCCGCTAAAAAGAGGAAAAATCTCATCCCTGTAACACTATAATTCTTGCCCCCCCCTATGTTTCTAATGTGTTTAAGGAAAAACTGGCAGTTTCAAGTGGGAAACGCAGCAACATCCACCATAGAGCCCAAGCCTGTTGCCTTGCACATTTATGGGCAATTGAAAAAAAACGGGTAAAGGGAATCACATTCATGTTGGAGGATGATGTGAAGAAGTCAGTAACAGACATTTTGAAACAGCAATCCAACGATTTCTATCAAGTCAAATTACTCATGGCACGATTTCTATCAAGCCAAATTACATGCCCTTTTATTTAAAATGTCAAAATGATTAAAATTTGCAGTTTGATTTTAATTTTTAAGTACAGTTTCACTTTTTAAGATAAGTTTCAATAAAAAGTTTCAACACTATTTAATTCAAAGTTCTATAGTTCATTAGAAAACCTAAAACAATTACTTATATAAAAATACTCAGTGTTGTACTTGCTGACAAAACAAATAATGCTTAGTTTTCCAAATACAGAAGCTTTAAAGCTAAAAAAGAGTAGAGCATTGGTCATTAATCAATCTTTAATAATAGATATGAACATCATAAGACTAAATTTTCATTGCGTGAATTATGTCTAACCTGACATATTCTTTCTTATTATCTTCAGTCACAAGAATCTCTTTTCCATTTGGTTTCAATTCATGAACTTTTATTTCACCAAAAGAATCCTGTTCAACTGAAAATGTAGTATCAATCACAGTAGTAATGTTGTTGTCTCTAAAAATAAAACATTTTTGGTTAGATAGAAAAATAATTTCCAGATTAAAAATGGCAAACTTTTACTTAAATTTTAATTATATTACAACCTACATTTTTCTAAATATATTATTCTAAATAAAAAAGCGCATTAGCCTTTTGCTTACGGCTGGTAGAACACATGGAAAAGGACAGCAGGCTTTACCATGCTAAGTGCAATAAGCAAAGGGTTAAGATAAAAAGCCAGTAGCACTTTGACAATATAAACTGCTACAATATTTCAAAACCAGATACATTTGAAAAGTGACTTTTTAGTAAATTTGAGAAAATATGCATTAGAAAGTAGGGAATATTAGGAGGTGACTTACAAAATTGATTTTCAATCAAAGATTTAGAACAGATTAAGATTAGCTGTTTACTCCAACCATAAAATTTTGATTTAAATGTTTCTCCATAAAAAACAGAGGCTATTGCAAATTGCTACTTCAATATATTTCTTTTATAGTTTTTCAATTTTACAAATTAGTTGTACAATTGAACAAATTTAATAACTTACAACATCCAATGGAGACTTCTTTGTAGTTCTGGGTCCACTGCTTCAATATCGTCCAATGTAATGGGTTTGTTGAGAAGCATCTTGTAAAATGGCAACGTGAATCCACCATCTATGTAATGACCATGAAATACTGCAAGACCAATGATTCTCCCAACAAAATGAAAATAAGACAGATGTTCCTTTCAAAACAAAAAATAAAAAAATTATTTTATAATCAAAATAAACCATCTAGGTTTTAAAAACATGAATTAAAGTAATAAAACAATTAATTCACCAGAATCTAATTTTTTTTTTAGCATATACAGTGAAATCTGTTAAACGGACACTCTTGGGAGAGATAAAATTGGCCACTTATGAGTTGTCCATTTACAGGAAGGATACACAAATAACAAAGTTTAATACTACTAAGTGTTTTTTAGAATAATTGCAATGATATAGAAAAACTTAAATAATCTACAATAACTATTTACAATGATATTATTGAAACTTTAAAAAATACTTTTTTCAATGTAAAAAAAAAAAAAAAAAAAAAANGATGAACTAAAAAAAAAAGAAAAAGAAAAAAAATTTAAAACATTTTATATGTATACATAATTTTAGATTTAGCTACAGAGAAATGAGAATGTTTTTCCTATTGACACAGACAAATTGACAGACATTCAAATTAATCATATGATACCAAATAACCGCTTTTAATCCTACGTCACTTCCTCAGTTTGATTATTAGATTTACACCCCTAACACCTAAAATTTTCAAGTAAAACATTTTTCTTACTGTTATACTATAAACTAACCATTTCAGAAATCAAGTTAAAAATTTAATGTTTAGGTTTTTTTTTTCACGAAACAATTTTCACAGTTGAAAGAAGCAACATATTTTTCCATTTTCTAAAAAAAATTTAACTGTGTTTTTACTTCTTTTTCAAACATTAATAAACCAGATTTGTATAATGAAATATAAACAAATAAATTAAAAAACTAATCAAACCAATTTATTAGGAAAACTACATAATATTACAGTACAGAACCCGTTATCCGGAAATCAGAAAACCGAAAAACCGGAACAAAATTCGATAAATTTTCCCGCCATTTAAAAAAAAAATTTTTTTCCTCATAAGATTTTAGGATTTTTCTTTCTTTTTTGAAAGATGTTCACCTTACCATCATTTTGGAAATAATCATTAGTGTATTACTTCATCGCTTTTTTCTTCTTTTTAAGATTATTTCCAAATTTTTTATTTTGTTTTTTTAGTTGGGTTTAACAATAAAAAAACGACTTTTTGTAGCGATTCCGAAAACCGGAAAAACCCGATCGTTCCGGATAATCGGTTCCCTACTGTACTACTAAACTACTTACTTTAGAACAATATTTCATAGTACCTTGAAAGTTATAAAATAGAGAACCAAATGTATATTTATACTCACACCTGATAAATAATCCTTAGGCAGGCCACACACTGAGGAAGCAAGCTGTAAGAAAGAGGCATACAGACGATGCACTCTTGTATGTTTACATTAGGATACGCAGAAATGATGTGCGCAAGGTAATACAAAAGCATATGAATCTGCCTTTCGAATGCCTCTTACTTACCACTCACTCCCTTAGTGTGTGGCCAGCCAAGTCTCATAATTATCTGTAAGCTGTATCATAATAATTACCATAACCTAATTATTAATATCATTAAAAGTTTAGCACCAAAGAATGTAAAACTTACAGGATTAACTGAAGAATCATGATTGATTTGCAGTGTATAAATATCATCTCTAGTATATTGGAATAGACCATAGTAAGGATTGAGCATTTCATGAGATAATAAATAAAGCCATTCCCTGAAAATGAAATCAGAAATGTAACAAATCATTTCATACTTACATAATATTTTAAAATAAATTTAAAATTTAATAAAAGCCTTAAACTACGTACAGATTTATGTTTTACAATTTTTAAAAAATAGGTTGATTCAATGAAATTTCGTCTAAAATAATGTAATTAAACCAAGCATTTCTACACATTATTTTACTGCAATTTTGCATAAATAATAATAAAACAAATAGTTTTGAAACTTACCTAGCCACACCACCATAATCAAGACCTTCTTCATTTTTGAATTTAACCATTAGTCGTTTTCTTAAATCTTTAGGCCTCATTTTCATTATTAGCCGGTAAGATTCCTGAAATATTAAGATGCTACATGAATAAAACTCAAATGTTTTAAAAAATACCTTATAAATTGCTTAAAGAAAAAAAAATATGGTTACTTGTGGCCCTGCAAATTTAGCTAAAAAGAAGGAAAATTGCTTCTGAAATCTTTTACACCAGTAAAAACGACAATAAAGCATTTGAGCCTATGTGACTATTGGGGACTTTTGTAAAGTACTCAATAAAAAAGTGTACACTTTAACAACTTTTGATAAAATCATTAGATTTGCACATACTATGATTTAATCTTATTGCTTTGAGAGCCTAACCAAAAATATGCTAATTAATTAATGCATACAATATTTTAAGTGAAGAAATCAGACACAAAAACATATTTCTTCCTAAATTCAGGACACAAAAACATATTTCTTCCTAATAAATTTTCTCCCACCAATTTGATTCTTGCTCCTTAAAATAGCTGCAATCTGGAAAATATAGTCCCAATATTTAAGATAGGAGAGAAATAAAAAATTTAGGCTACTTAAAGTTAATTCCCCCCTTTGCATATTTCACCAGACCTCCAAAATTATGGAAGTGATTTAAATTATTATCCACATAATTATAAAACTTGTTTACCCTAAGATTTATGTAAAAAATGATTTATTATAATTATTTAATATTTTCTGTTTACTTAATTTATTAATAGTAAAAAAAAAAGAATTATAAAGTATACACTTTTGTGCACAAATTCAATTTACATAATTTAGAGGGACCTGGCCAAACAGCTCTTCTTGAGAAACAAACATTTAAAAAATGACTATTTTGGGAATAGAAAATATGCAAAAAGTCAAACAACAAGGTCAAAATTACAATGAGTCGATTAAATTGATTAAAAATGAACAGTAAGGAACAAGCAGACCATGTCTAGAGGACTTTTTAACATAAGAACTTAACCCATCCTGGGCAATTATGACAAATATAATGGTTTATTATTATACATATTCCTCTTCACTTTCAAAAATTAAAGCATAATGAAGTAAAATATTAATGCATAATGAAGATCATAATTATTACTTCAAATATGTCTTCTCTAGAAACTTCTAGGCGGCAATGACCAGATTGAGGTTGTAACGCATGCAGTTCTTGTCTCAGGGCAGCAAGTTTCTGAACTAGATCTCTCCTCTGTTTGGAAACAGGAGTATCTGAACCATCGAGGCAGAGTGGAATAGAGGGGTGGAAAGGAAATGGAGGCAGTGGTGGAGGCTGATTGTTTAGACTATTGGCACTAGGATTAGGGGTAGAAGATGGGATAGCAGGTGGTGCAGAATCTGGAATTGCAGGCGGTACTCTGCCATTTTGAATGGGTGCATTATCATCCACTCCATTACTTCTTCTTGTGCTGAAATAAACAATAATATCAAGCTTACAGTTAAATTATATGATTGATTATATTACCTAAACATAAATCTCAAATCATTACAAAAGTTTTTCTTATAGATTTATAAAAAAAGTAAATGAAAATGTTTCACGACATAGAGCTTATGGAGCGTGCTCCAAATTACATCAGTTTTTGAAATGTAAACAATAATTATACTGCTGACTTTTTGAATTATCCAGTTCATAGTTTCCATTCCATAGTTAGTTGAGTCATAATTCTTTTAACATTAATACAATTAAAAAAATTATAACAAAAAAGAATTAAAACTTAAAAAGATAATAATATTTAATTCATGATTTTCAGAAACTTAGGAAACATTTCTTCTAGATCTGGTTCAACCATTATGTCTAATATACAGAAATCAGATTCTCAATTTCCTAATCCAATTTTAATATTGATGAAAAAGTTATAACAAAAAATACAGTTGCCATAAAATTAGAAAATATATTGCCTAAAATTTTATGTTTGATTTCAAAACATTTTATCCACTACAAAGTTTAAATACTTTCAAATGTGCTCTGATTCTGAGAGCTCACACGTTTCATGCTGAAAAGTTGGCAAAAGGATAAAAACATAGTTCTGAGATATTACAAGTAATAATGATATAAGTAAGCAAACAAGAGAGAGAGAAAATGAAGTTTAAACTTCATAGTGATTACGAATTTTGAATTTAATTTACTTCATCTTTAACTTTTTCATGTTACTGCTGCAATTTTTAAAAGCAAAATAAAAACAAAAACATTGTAATAAGATAAATAATAAAGGGTTATAATTACTTGAGCATATTTTGCACAGCCAAGTTACTAGAGAGTCGAGGGTCAGTAAATTGTGTAGTTCTATTGTTGTGGTCAACATAGTAATAACGTCCATTCATAGTACGCCTCATTTCCCAACCATCAGGAAGAGGTCCTAAATCATCAACATTTATACCAGCTAAATCTCTAGGAACTCTTGGGTCATGCCACGTACTAACACCAGTAGCAACATGATAAAAATACACTTGACCTTGTTGTGTTGTCCGTATTTCTGAAGAAAAAAAATAAAGAGGTCAAATCCTGTACAGTAAACGCATTATCATAAAATATCCTTTTATACACGCTTAGAGTTTTAAAATGGCTTGTGCATGAGATTTTTCTAACACTAACAAAGTTTTTTAAAATTCTGTTTGAATAGGGTCACAGACAAGAGCGCCAGCAGAATAATATAAAAGGGTGTGCAACCCTTTAAAAACTACCCCCCTCCAAATTTTCTTTTCTTCAATTATTCTGTTATTACATGTTGTTTTGTTATTACACATACTTTCATCTGTTAATTTTTTCAAGATACATTTCCTCATTATTAACAAGATATTTAAAAAAAAGTACGAATTTCTTGTACTTTCAAATTTTGCCACGAGAAACTGTATTGATGGCGCTGGCGTAGCTACTGACTTTCAAACACAAATAACAACAAACAGTAGTTTCGTATACTAACGTGTTTGTGCACGCTTAACATTGGTATTTACTGTGTTGATGAAGTTTTACAGTTGTGAGAAGTCAGTTTGTGATATACACCTTTGTTAAACTAAATAACTAATAGAAAATATAACATTACTTATAGTTTATTAAATGAAATTTAAAAATATAGCTTAGATATCTGCCAAGTTTGTGCATGCTCAGTGTGCATAAGAAAAGAATTAAAGACGACTCAGAATTCATTGAAAAAGTTATAAACAGATTTGGACAGCAAACAAGACAATTACAGTTCTTGTTTGATTAAACAATTTTTTAATTGTTATGTATCAATAATTACTTAATTATTTGTTTTTCAATAAAAATATGTTAAATAAAGAAATTTTATAACATAATTGTTTTTCTGTATCTCTTTGTTTTTAAAAAAAGTCAGGGCGGTGCAAGTACACCCCCTTGCACCCCGCTGCCGGCGCCCTTGGTCACAGAGCTGTTTATAACAATATTTAACAAAAGGGAATGACCGCACCTGCTTGATTTGCTCACCCTCACCGATACAATTGCTTCACATTCATATTTTTTTTCTTGAAAAAACATCCAAATTGACAGATTGTTATATCAAAACTCAAAACAATCAAATTAAAAGATCCTAAATTTTTTTTATTGTTTTTAAAACATCGATTTATTTTCAGATTCTAGAGGAATAAAATTTGATTACAAAAAAATAAAAAATATATAATTTTTTTTTCCAACGGAAATTATTTAGCAATGTTGCAAAAGTTAATGCTTAATATTATTTCAGAATTTTAAACAGTTACTTAAAATTCATTAATTTGATTGCGTATATTGACTAAATACAGTTTTACATAAAATGCATTATAAAAGAAAATATAAATGGATCAAAATTAATTATAACTCATTAAACATTTAATAGTAGTAAAATGATAACTAAAAATGTGATGATTTTTTAATACAATAAAAGAACACTACTTTTATTACTAAGCTTTTAATTTTCTAAGATAAAACAAAAAATCTAATAACAAGGGAGAATTTTAAAAAATGAAGATAAAAAAAATATTTCTCATAATAACTCTTTTATTAACATTATATTAACCACAGTTAAAGATATGTGGTTGTCATTTGCTTATTAATCATCATAATATGTGATTATCTGTTCAATGAGAACCTACGGAATTGTAAGACAATAATTGCCTTAATTATCATTTCATAATATGCAGAGGTATAAAATATTAATAATTAATTAATCCACTAACTAATCTCTTTTTCTTAGCGTCCACACACAGCAACCAAATGAAGAAATTGTGGCTAACAATTTAAAGTGATGTTTCGCATCATATTTGGTTTGATTTGGGTGATCCTGATAAAATAACCTTTAAAATTAACATCGAAATTAAATAGAGATATTTAAAACCACATAAGCAGAACTTACCATAACCATCAGGTAATTCAACAGCTAGATGGAGATGATTTCTTGACAAGTAATTCCGATGCCTAGTTGATCTTCTTCTTGAGTGCCCACTACTGCTCACACCATTAGTAATATGGTTTGTACTCTCTGAATTACTAACATTACTATGATTGGTATTGGAATTAGAATTTGAATTAGAAGAATAGTTCGTTGTGGTATTATTTGAAATAGCATTACTAGACACTTGACTACAAGTAGGTCGACTACTGTTATTATTGTTGTTATGGCCGTTGGATTGAACTGGTTCATAAGCAGTTCTGCAAAAAAAGAAAAGCAAAATTAAATTTTGGCATTGTGGATGATGTATAAACAAAAGATGCAGCTATAATGCAAGCATAGCACATTAATTATCAGACACCAACAAAATCCAGGCTCAGGTCGCCCAGAGGACTAGGAAAATTCCCTTGGGGACTTAACACTAGAAGGACTGAAATACCTATACTGCCCAAAAGCAGTCAAAAAGACTGCATTGTGAAAGAACAACTATTGTATAAAGAAATTTGTTTAAAATTAATTTTTAATATTTTTGGTATCATTTTCAATTATATAACAAGTTATTAGTAAATATCATCAATAAAAATAATTATAAAAGTTACAAAATTCTAATAAATTTTGTCATAATATACATCATTGTTTCTCTAATTGAAATTAAAAAGCAGTCAAAATGACTTCCTTGGGCAATCTAGTGTTAATAACTATATTTTCACTATATTATTCAACTACACATTATTCAACTACATATTATTACATTTACCATAAGCGGGAGGACACATTGAAAAAAATCAATATTTATAACTTTTTCCTTGGAAGAATATTGAATTAATTGACAGATGGCATTTAATGCTAAAAGTCAAAGGCAATGTTAATGTATATATCCATTTCGTGTTTGTATTAAAGGTAACAATATTAATTTACCTACTGCTTTAGTGTTCATTTCATAATTTATTTATTTAATTAGAGGAATTACAATTTTAAAAATTTATTTCCTTAAAATGTTTTCCAGGAGCTAGACATATAATATCTAATTTAAACAAAGCTTAAGAACTCTTTTTTAAAATTATTAATATAACGAATAATACATTACATGCGAACTTGACCATGTTGTGAGACTTCTCACATAAAAAAGGATTAAATTTAAAAGTAAAATGCTTTAACTGTATGCTTATATATGACAAATTGTGGTAGCGGAAGTGGAATGACTTTGTTGTAATCTAGGAGAAATCTAGGATTTTCGCACTAAATGCTAACCCAGATGATTGTAACAATGTTTTTCGCTGTATATTTTATTTTTTGCAATACCTCACTTCTAATCATCAAAGACAGATTTTACGCTGAATGAATGTAAATCACAAATTGTACAAGAGTTTTCAAAATGCATATCACTGTATAGTGTCAGCTCGATGTTAGGTAACAATTCAAATTTAACTATTGAAAAGAAAATAGATTTATTTTTTTTAATATCCGTCGTTAAACAGCCAACCTAATTTTGGGTTTACGACTACTAATGTTTTTGTAGCCTTGTAACTTTTTAAACAAACCAGAAGATAAGGAAACTCCTGGATCTTACCCCCAGAGGTATTGATTTGTTATAGGAACATGGAGGACTTTGAGACCAGACAGATTTAACATGCATCAGTCACCATTTACTACACAGGGAGTCTTCGGCCGGCGGGGATCGAACCCATGATCTCTTGAACGTGGGCCCAGTGCCCTACCAACCAGGCTATCCCGGCCCAACATATTTCAATGAAAATAATACATTCTATAACATTCATATGCTTGGCCTAAAATGGGTTAATGTTAAAAAAAAAATTATACATGAATTTCGCTATTAAAAAAAGTGATGAGTGTTTACAACAGTTAATTAGAACAAGCCACATTTTGATCTTAATTCCAACTAACTTAAAAATTATTTGAGGGAAAAAAGGTTATTATTTTTTCACCATGCTCACAGTGCCATCTGTTGTTTTTTTTTTTATTATGAGGGCTTAGGATAACAATGTTATGCTAATTTGATTTCTGACGTTACTACTTGCTTGAAAATAGATTAATTGTAATATTTCAAGCAGGCAGTAATGCTAGAAATTAATTTTGCATTGTTATCCTAAGCCCTCATAATAAAAACAGATGGCGCTGTGAGCATGGTGAAAAAAAAATAACCTTTTTCATCTCAAATAATTTTCAAGTTAGTTGGAATTAAGATCAAGATGTGGCTTGCTGCAATTAACTGCTGTTAACACTCATCACTTTTTTTTAATAATGAAATTCATGTATCATTTTTTTAAAAATATTAACCTATTTTAGGCCAAGCATATACATTTTATAAAATGCAGTATTTTCATTGAAATATGCTTACATTACATTCATCAAGACACACAAATAATTTTTGTATAAAAAATTATATTTTATTTAAGAAATAAAATGGGGCGTATATGCACCATTCACCAAATCGATGAACACACCATTTAGTTGATTGCTTGTTTTTTTTATTTACTGACTTGCAACTTTAATCCATTATAAAAACATAATGATAAATCTCACAATTAATAATTATATACTTTAAAAAAATTTCATTCGTGAATAACCGTTTTAAGTTAAAAAATTTTAATAGTTTAAAAATTTCTCAACAGCCTTTCAGAACAGAAAGTGTTTACTTCATTTGAATTATTATTAGTTTTTGAATGTCTTAAGAATCCTTGACAATAGCAGAAAAATAAAATTAGTGAAAAATATACATCACAGTATTAATAAAAAAATATTTATTGAATTGGTGAGTTAGAGCACCTTTGGCCGATAATGGATTAATCTTCTTTTTATATACACTATAGATAAGAAAAAATAAATGTTTATTCAGAATTAATATGATGTGTAGATAATACCACAGCCTCACCACAATAATATCTAGTTACAGAAAGTTAAGACCACGGTCTATAGAAAAGGTAAGTGGAACTTACCCTTTACCTTTATCATTGACATTAAGAAACAATAATATTGAACAATTGTATAGAATTATTATCAAGGATCAATAATAAAAATCCACAGTAGTACCTAGTGGGTTTTTCCCATTGTGTAGACCTTGTAAAATGGTTAACATAATATACTCTCCCTGCAGCTGTTCTCCTTTCTTCCCAGCTGAAAAAAAATCAATAAGTCAAAAAACTTAGCTTTGTTAGATTTCTTCAATGTATATATTAATACTTAAGCAAGCAATTTTTTTAGAAGTTAATTTTTCTCCTTCTAAATTCTATATAAAAAAAAAAACAAGGTTATTTTACATTCCTTTCAATAGTAGAATATTTTTAGTAGATTCATTGCTTTAGTGTGAAACTGATAAATAAATAAATAAAATTATTTAAAATTATTTCTACTAGAATCAATAAAAATAATCTTTTGCAAAACTATGCTAAAGGGTAGAATCAGAATGAAAATAGTTAATGGAAAATGGCTATTAATTAATCGAAATATCAGAATTATTTATTTTTTATTTTATTGCGATTCAGATCCAATGATGATATTCAGCTGGTACGCACGTACCAGTTCTTAAAATTTCTAAAGTACTGTATATTAGGTCCTAAAATTTCCCCATACAATTAATTTAAAGCATTACATTTCGGCAGGAGTTTGATTCAAAGTTTGCAGGAATAAGTGTATTGTGGATTTTTACTATTTTGAAGCATTTAAAATATTTCCAACAATTATTCTTGTAATTATGTTTAACTAACTTAAAAATGAAAGAGCAACTAAGTTTTGTGAACAACTTTTTTTTAATATTCCAAAACAAATCTGAATTAGTTGAAAGAACAAGAAACAGAAAACCACGACAATACAGAAGAAACATTAAATGATAAGCAGGAAAATGAAACTTAATCTTTTATTAATGCAGGTTTAGGAACAATTTCAATATTTTTAAGAAGAAAAAAAGGGATAAATAGTCGAATGTAAATTAGGCTGTGATTACTGACACAAATTAAATATCACTTCATGTTTCTAAAGAATGGAAACAATACCATGTGAAGCTATCAGAAAATGTAAAAAAAGAACCAAAAAGTATCTTTAAGAAGAAGAAAAAATCAAAAAACAATTCAATTCAAAATATCACTATGTAAGGAAAACTTTGAACAGTCAAAAATAAACCCAATGTGCGAAATTATTGACCAATTTGATGAAAAATGCATACAGTCAACACGTAAAATATTTAATACTGTGTATTGTTTGACAAAACATTGCTGTCCATTCTCATACATTGAAGATGAACTTGATCTTTAAATAAAAAAATTTACTGAATATGAGGGTTGGTTGATTCAAAGAAAACAGCAACAAAAAATATTGGCTTTATTTCCAACAACAACAAAAATTAAATGCTTGATAAAATAACAGAGAAGGATTGAAAAATTTGCATTATTATTTTAAGGCTTCAAATGTCTCCAAGCAAGACAGTTTAGAGGAAAATTCAGAAATAGCACCTTTCCTCATCAGATTACTAATGACATTGTGTTCCGATGGTGTAATATTGGGGAAAAAGTCTGTCGACGGTGAACAAATTTCAAATTGTTTCCCAAATATTATAGTCTAACATTGTTTAAATAATCCTCTTCAGCCTGTTTTAGATAAATCGACTACAAAAAAAATCAGGTAAGTAAATCATTTTAAAATTTTTATGGATAACATTTATATAATTTTTCATCAATCAAACAAAACAAAAATTTAATTTTTGAAGATTTCAGAACAGCTTGGATATGAAATCACTAAAATTGGACATGTTTTGGGACGAAGATTGGCAGCATTAGTTTAAGATCAGTGGCAATCGAGAGTGCTTATCCTTCTCTGTATTTGTTCTTCAAATCAAATGAAAAATTCTCAGGCATGCAGAAATGCCTAGAAAATAAAAATTTTGTAAGAAGTCTGGCCCACAGGACTGATATTTTGATGGAAATCTCTCTGCTTTCCATAACATTAAAAGAAAGAAATGTGGATTTAATTAAATCAGAAAATTTGAAATGCTGAAGACTAATGATGGAGCTTATGAGAAAACATTACCGGAAATATTTAGTTCTAAGAAATTTGAATGTATTGATTTTAGTGAGAACTCGAAATTCTAGTGTTTGGTTTGCCATGGGGAAAGTTCATAGATAGCATTATTCATAATCTTCAAATCATATTAATGAACACTGATAATTCATTAACGTGCCAAACAAGTCTGATCACAATCGACTAGGTTTCATAAAATCTTTAGAACTGAAACAATGGAAATTTGAAGACATATTTTGAATTTGGAGAGAAGCTAAATATCGACTGCTTCAACAGTTTTTCTTAAAACACTTTCAAGTATTGAATAGACATCAATGACTATAGAGATTATATTGAAAATGCTTTGGGTACACGAATAATCATATAATTCCTAAGAGTATTTAGAAAGAGAAGAATATTTTTAGAACTGTCGCTATAAGTTCTGCAGAAGCTGAAAGAGGATTAAGCCTCATGAATTCCATTTGCATGCACAGAAGAAGCAGATTGATTGTAAAAAATAAATGGAATATAATGATTATTTCCTTAACGAGACTAGGATTACCTCTGAAAGACTGGGGCCCAAAGCCAGTGGTTATAATATGGCTATGACCTAACCACAATGCCTAAGATACTGAAGTGAAAAACAAGGAAGTGGAAAAAGCAAGAAAAAACCAAAAAGTCAATCGGAAATACTTAAAAAATAATTCATTTCAAATTAAAATAAATGCTTTTTTATACCTACTATTTTATGTTTCATAATTATTTTTTTCTTTAAAAAAATAATGCAAATTTAAACAGTACCGGTTCTTAAATGATTGGAATCCCATCATCATTCAAACCACACAACATCAAATTAAATTTCAAAGGAAATGAACAACATCAAAATGAACAAATTTATTTTTCATTTGTTGCCATCAATTTTTTTAAAAAGAGTTAAAAGTTCAAAATAAAATCCTGAAGTAAACACTACTCAACATAATATACAAAATTCATCACATTTCTTTGCAGTATAGATGAAACTTTTTTTTTTTAAGCCAAAAGACAATTTTGTAATTACACTCACCCCTCGGGTAGTTCGTCAGGTGATAAAGCTAGATTGCCCAATCTATCCATTACTACATTGACACTACCGGAGCCTCGCCCATCTCGAGACAGCAGACTGATTACAATTTGGCCTTTGACTTGTTCAGAATCATCTACATGTCCTTTTACTAGATCAAGTCGATGATCTACAATAAAGATACAAACATAATGCATATAAACATAACACGTATTACACTACACATAACACGTATTTACACTAGACAATTGAATTTTAAACGTTATGTAAAAAAAATTGTTTCCAATTTCAATACATATACAATTTAACAAGTCATATTACTTTCAGGGTTGGCAATAATGATTTTTTTTTAAAAATTAGATATATTTAATTTCCAATAGACTATTATTATAATTTTTTTTTTTACATTTATCAACAAATGAATATGATATTACTTAATATCATTTAGAAACAATATTGCAGCGGAAATAGAAATTATTTTTATTTAATATTATAATTTTATGTATTAATAACTTAATAAATAAAATTATTGTTAATTATGTTCAAGTTAAGACAAGACGCACTTTATCAGTTAGATATTCTCAATGAGGGAAACCAGTTTAGATCAAAAAACATTACAGAAAAAATTAATTATTTTAAGTTACTCTAAGTCGAACAAGTCTTCTTCTTTTTTTAATAATTGATATACACTAACAGCATATTTAATAAGTTTTAAAAGCACTGGTATTTAAATAAACATAAGTTAAATGGGTATAAGTGAAACATGCATATGATCATCCAATTATTTAACTTAGGGCAAATGGAAAATTATAATTTAAAATATAATAATTTACACACATCTTCCTATTATTATTTCTTAGTGTAAAAACTTCATAATCAATGAGGGGGGGGGGGNGGGAATCGCAACCAAAACAACATTTTTCTTAGTTACATTGTTAAAAAATACATCTAGACAGAAATAAATATATATTTTTTAAAATTAAGTTGTTTTAAATTAATGTTTTCTTTTTAATATAAAAAAAGCAATTTAAATCCTGTATACCCAGTTCGTTTTGACTCAATTTGTAGAAATTTTCCATAAGTTATTTTTTTTCAATGAATTTTTTAAAATAAATAAAATCTAATTCAATTAATAAAATATTGGTCACATTAATTAACGTTTTTATCAACCTAACATAAGCTAATTATTATCATTATGTACTTGATTTTCATATAATTTTGTAAAGATATTAACATTTTTATGATAAATAGATCTCCACATTACTTATTAGCCTTGGAGCACAGAACACTTTAATTTAACAATGGCAATAGACTATACTGCATAACATAAATGATATTCAATGTACAATATCATAAAATGTTAACTAATTCTTACTCAAAAGCAAAACGTGCACTAGGGCACCATGAAAATTGTATCTTTCTTAGTTCTTTTAGGTGGAAATCAGAACACTAAAGATACCAAGTACTTTATTTTGAAATAAATGTAACAGACACAATCAAACAACATTTAAAGAATAAACAATACTCACATCCTGTATCTTTCAATCGCTGAATGGAATTGGTCATAATTCGAACACAACCTAAGAAACCAGCACCTTGTTTTTTATGAATTTTTTTATGATTCCATATACTAATTGTAATGGAATCATTATTTCCTATGTACCTAAAAAAAGAATGCTCCATTGGTAAACAGTTTAATTAAGTATAATGTGTACATACATATAAACAGTACAATAAATAATATTTCTTTAGAAAAATCAATGTTCTTTTAATTAAGAGAAAACACCCAGATAATTTACAAGTAAACATAAGAATATACTCCTATTTTTATTAAATTGACAACAATGGTAAAATTTTTAACTGAAAAATAAAATAAAATTTGAAAATAAAAAGACCTATAAAACATAGCAATACTTATTTGAATTAATTTTAAAATATTAAGAATTGAACTTAGGAATGAACTAAAATGTTTGTGCTTAATAAGCAATGACTTTTTAATTTAAATTTATCTAAATCATAACACATTTATCACATATTTTAAATGATTTTAAAAATAACAAATATGGAATCTAAATATTTATTTATTATTTAATTAGAACTTATCTAATAAAATAATAAATAACATAATTAACAACAGGGGAAATTGCCAGCATTGATTACCCTTTTGAGGGTCATTTTTGAAAAACTCTGTAGATTACGCTAGAAATAATTATTCTTACAACAGAATTCCATTTAATTTTGAGAAAAAACAAATTTTGAGTTATAGGAATAAGAAAAAGTAATTTGGTGCAAGATCAAAAGAATCAGTTGAATGTAGCAAAATTTTAAAAACTGCACTTTATAATTCCTCAATTACATCTGGAGATGGTGAGCAGGTGCATTTTCATGAGACAGATGCAATTGGTAATCAAACTTCATTATTTCTTGAATGGCAGATATGCAGTAAAAGACACCAGTGATAGTCTGACGCTTTGGTAGATTACTTTTTAAGATGACTTCAAAAGATAACTTCACCTTCCCAACAGACACATGGACCTCAGATTTTTGAGGGATATGAGGCACTGTGCTTTCACTTAATGTTTATAAATCTCTTTGGTTTTCTGGATCATAAAAGATAGAATCCAAGACTTATTTATCTTTACATTATCCTTATATAAAAAAAAACTCTTTTTGTACGAATTATTTTGAGGCAAAAACAAAAAAATTAAAAATAACAACTGTAACTTAAGACATAATATAAATATAGAAAGATCAACAAACATACAGAAAATTCTTTACCCAGGTACCTCTTTCACACAAACAAAAACAAATTAAAAATTAGGGTGTGTAGCCAAATCTTTCAACAAAAAATAAGCACCTTTTCAGCAAAAAATATTTTTAAGTACTATATACATTAACAAAATGCAAAATATTTTTCAAAGACTTTACATGATCATGATAAAATAACTAGTTTCTGATAAAGAATTCTTTTCTTGATTATGTTAGCCACCATAAAGAGATTGAGAGATTTTTCGGTTCGATATCAGAGGGTGGAAAATGAAGCCTGAAATGGAGAATATCTTACAAAATGCAGAAGAGTTGCACATGAGAGTGCAAGAATCTCGCTGAACTCAGCTCAGTAGGCGCACTGCGGACTCGGAAATATTTCCTTAAACACGTAAAATAATTGGCGCTTTCATACGCTATGGACCATCAGTACATTGAAATGGATTGTGGTTGAATGAATTGTGAAAATGTTGAATAGAACAAGGTGAAAATGACGATTTTGCATAATACGTGTTAAAAATCGACATGGTCAAATTTTTAAAAAAACATAAACGGAAAATTAGGCACTTTTTAAAAACACCCAAAGAAAAAACCACCTTTAAGGGCATTTAAAAAACGAAAATTGAAAATAAGAGCCTTTAAGTACTTTTTAAAAACGCTACACACCATGTTACAACTGTAACTTAAAAAATATATAAGTTAAAGATCAATAAATATACAGAAATTTTTTTAACCAGGTACCTCGGTTGTTTAGTAATAATTAAAGGTACTGCTTGCATTCTACTTACAAATCATAATGTTGATTCCATTTGGGATCCAGTGTGTTTTTACATGTATCTGTGGAATGGCACTGACCTGATCCATCAACGCTAACTTTACAAAACGGGTCGGGTAAACCTGAATAAGAAAAGGAGGAAATGCAGTTATAGTCGTCAAGATATATTTTTTAAACAAGTATATAGATATCAGTGGCATTGACTTGTTTATTGATTTTTTTCTATCCTTATTTTAACATAATTTTAAGCTGCAAACTGTTTATCACAAACCAACACCAGTTCTTAAAGACTGAACAATTGACCCATAGTTTATAGATTTTAATTCAAACATTTTTCAAGAACTGGGTGGAGATGATATCTGAACTAAGAATAGAGAATTTATTTCTTTACTACATTTTAGCTGTTTGCATTAATATAAGTTAAAAACGAACAGACGAAATTTTGGACTTGAAACTCAGTTATGAATTTTGGTGGTTTTAAAGAAACAAATCTAAAATTTAAAAACAGCTCTTTTTTAATGAGAGTGGGGTCAGAATTATGTGGCTTACGACTATCCGCTCTAGGACTAACACATTAGACCGAAGAAAGAGATTCCCTTTCTCTCGCCAAAACAGTGACCCCGCACCCCTACTTAAAATAGTCATATTCCGTCATAGTAACCGCCAGAGGTCCAGATGAATGTTTGAAGGAGTTCTTATTCTAGACAAACTATAAGTCATCAGTTGTGCAGTTAAATAATAAACATTGGGTATTTTTATACTATAATCATTTATCTTAAAATGTATAACATGCATTTTTTATCAAATAAGAGAGGGCTAAGAAGTTGAAATTCCTTCCACCTGGTCTTCTGCCACTTCAGACCGGATTGTCGAGAACCTACTGTATATTTGAACCTACTCTATCTACCTTTTGAACTATGGATTATTTAGAAAGTGGGAATATTAGTAATTGTAAGTCAATTTCAATATAAATTAAGATTTAAATATTTTTAAAAAATTGCTTAGTCTGAGTTCTCAGTATCATTTTTAGGCGTGTTTGCTGGAACTAAACAAATATCATTAGAAATTATACAATTATTATCCTTCAACTAAACCACTGACTATAAATATGCTTCTCCTTTCTTTGTCTTTCTTGTTGCAAAATTGTATATGTAACAAAAAGTGCTAGAAATATAACGCCAAAAAAAAATATACCTTCGTGCATAAACCAATATGCTATTACCATAATAAAATTAGAAACTAAAAAGAAAAATTTTGAGAAGTGCTCTTTTGATACAGGGTAATATATATGCAATAAATATAGTAGTCAACATGAAATTAGTATGGAATTATGATTGTTGGTGGTGCATAAAATGGTTGAAAAATAAAGAAGGTTAATATTAGAGCCGATTAAGAGAAATGGACTTGTGGTTAATTCATGGCAACTATACACGAGCAAGATATGCATTTAAAAGAAAATAAATTATTTTATACGTTTGAATCAATGATTTAAAATAAATTATATCTGAACAAAAAAATCATGTTTTAAAAAAATAGATATTTAAAACTTCTTCTTTCGACACTACAGCCCAGAATAATTTAAGGCCGCACCAGTCAGCTTCTGCCATCAATAAAATCGATTAATATAGCATAAGAAATATGAAACAAGTTAAATTAAATGTTGATATATTTTGATGGCTAATTTTTGCACATTCATAAAATAACTATACTTACGAAACAGATCTCTTTTTACAAGATTTTTTGCACAAAGAACTGAAAAAGAAAAGAAAAAATAGTGTAAGATTACAGTATAAAATTATAATCAGAAAAAATAATTAATGATACAATCACTTTATGTGCAACAAGAAAATTTACATAGTTAACAATAAAAAATTTAATGTAATCCATTCATTAACATTAAAATTATGATAAATTTTTTCATTGACTTTAACTTAGATTTAAATCTAGTTAAACTTAATGTGACTATTATATTGCCACATTAAGTTATATGTTTCTCACACATAAATGTTTCTAATGACATAGTCAAGTTTGTAATTTTTACTAAGAGATTCTAAGTGTATACCATTAAAAATTAGAATATGAAAAGGAGTGGGGAGGGCATGTTAAGAGAGTCACTTTCATTTACAGATCTTCGCATCTAAAGAAAAACAATGTAGCTGGTTGAGTTTGTCATATTTTATATACAATACAAAGATTTTGCATATAGTTTGTCTTATCTTAACTGTAACGCACACGAACCTAATTTTCTACCACTTCGCGATTTTTACTATGAACACTAAACATAATCAAGATTGTTTTTTAGTGAAACTAAAGAAAAGAATCAAAAGAGACATTGTTTAGAAATACTATTGAAAATATGTAGGTGTTTCCAGCGTAAGATCATTTAATTCTGTCACTGTTGTGTTTCTAAACTTCCAGATTTAAAATTGCTAAATAGAGAAATTTTACATAAGTTTTCGGAATAGCCCATTTTAGCGCAACTTATGTCAAATAACGTTTGAAGTTGCTTATCGATTCAACCAAAATTTTTGTTTCAACTTTGGTTTCTACTTTTATTAGTTTTGTCACCATGCTTTTTTTATTATCTTACCCTTTTCTCAGGTTTTCATACGTTTTACAAGTTCATGACAGAATAAAGAACTTAAAACTTAAACTGAAATTTAGAATTCTACATTATATGTTGCAAATTTTAGAACATTTTAAAATGAGAACTTATTAATACACAGCTAGACTACAATAGATCAGTATCTTATAAGGGAACGAAGTGAGGTCAGAGTGTAGACCGAGTAGAAAACCCCGAAAGTAGTTCAGGGGATTGAAGAACAGAACAGCCCTTTAGTTAATTCCAAAACAGCAATTTTACACTTATCTCTTTTTAAAATTTTAATTTTTTAAAATTTAAATCAAACTAAATTAATACACTAAAATTGACCCCCCCCCCCTCCAGAAAAAGTTTCGTTTCATAAAATTTGATTTAAATTATTAATTTTCAAATTTCTAAAATTTTATTTACATATTATTTTATATATTCTCCGGAATTAAAAAAAAATGCGAAATAAATATGAAATAACAGTTTCCGCAGACCGCAATTTATTATCAACGTGTTTGACTTTCTGGTTTGTTTAAAAAAAATAATACGCAAACATGAAATTAAAAATACATACGAAGTAAATAAATAATTCATGAATAAAAGAAATTAAAACAAGTGTTGAATTTAAATCAAAACATAGCTAAAATATAAAGCAGAGATGGAAGATGCATAATCGAATGAAAATAACACTTTAAACACTCGATCACGGTGGTTTTATCTCAACTCCACCAAATGTACACATACAAAGAAAATTAAATAAATAAAAAAAGTAATTGGAATGAAAACTTAAGAGCATGGGACAAGAGTCACGTAAAGAATTATTCCTATCACAGAGCAAAGCCTTTCATTGGGTCAAGTTGTTGCCATTTCTAAACAGAAAATAAAAATCAAGTTACTCTCCTCTATCACCAAGGTCGCTGGCTTTTCATTTACATTCATTAGTTGCATATAGCATTAAAAGCTACCGGGAAAAAGGATGCATATCACAGCGAATGGCCAATGTATTTTTTTCCCACCATAATGTTAGTTGCGATTGAGAGGGGAACAAAAGGCATTTTTATGATCTTTAAAATTGCCCCGGTGAATAATCACTCTAATTACTTTAACCACAATAGAACAAGCCATGTGGCACCGAAAGGGGAAAAAAACAAACTATTACTAGCTTTTATTAAATGTATAGAACAGTGGTTACCAACTGGTGGACCCCGGGCCGCTTCCGACTCGCGAAGCCTTTTTTTGTGGCTCGCAAACTAAAATACAGTGCAGAACCCGTTATCCCGAAATCAGAAAACCGGAAAACCAAAAAACCGGTACGAAATTCGATACATTTTCCCGCCATTTTCAAAAAAAAATTTTTTTTCCTCTTAGGATTTTTCTTTCTTTTTTGAAAGATGTTTACCTTACCATCATTTTGGAAATAATCATTAGTGTACTACTTCATCGTTTTTTCTTCTTTTTAAGATTAGTTCCAAAAAAAATTTTTTTAGTTAGGTTTAACAATAAAAAAAAACGGCTTTTTGTAGCGATTCAGAAAACCGGAAAAATCAGTTATCCGGATAATCGGTTCCCTACTGTATATCAGTTGTTATTTTTTGCGGACAATTTTCGTAAAAAATCTATATGGGTTTAAAATACTTTTCTTTCGTTTAAAAAAACCTAATTTCCTCGTTTCTGTGAAATTTAACATACCAACGGTTCAAAAAAAGTTTATTTCTCAGGTTTTGCATACAAGAAAATATTTCTTATTATTTGTAATTCAATACTTTTGTTTTGTACAACTAAATAAAAATCTGACAGTAATATTTAATGTTCCTTCAAACATTAAAGAGACCTATATAAAATTTTGATAAAGTTGCGGCCCGCCATTCGACTGGTGTGTTTAATTGCGGCCCCCGGCCTCATGTAAGTTGGAAATCCCTGCTGTAGAAGATGAATCTTCATGAATAACAAAACTTTGCACAGATACTTTTAAAACGAAATCGGCTAAAATTAGCTTCTAATTTTGCCCGATTTACTAACTATTCCTGTAAGTAGATATAAAGCAAAAATTACAAAAAATAAAGTGGCGTAAATAGCTACCTCGATGGTTAGAGGACGCATGCTCCATAAAAAATAAAAAAGAAAGAAAGAAAAAAAAGAATACGAATAAAAATATTTTTTATAATTTGTCTTTAAAAAAATTGAGTTCATGAATAATAATAACCTTTAACTAAACTTCAAATATAATTATTGTAAGATAGTGAGCTATTTTATCTTTTTATTAAAATTACTTTTATTTCAAGTGGTAAGGGTATAACAATGTTTCACTTACTTGTTTTTAAAATTTCACCTTTGCGTCGCTATTATGATTTTTATTATCCTAAATTAAAATAAAATTAATGGTTATAAATAACCTTGTCTCTCCGTCATAGTGTTTATGTTTCATATTGTAATTTTAATTTTTTATGCTAAGTCTAATATAGGGCGCACTTGGTTAATCTCGAGGAGGGGCGCAGCTATGTTTAGGTACGCCACTGAATAAATAACTAAAAAATAATAATAAAATAGAATAAATGTGCATACAAATAAAGATCATTACTCGTATACCTCTAGAACTTCTTACGTAGTTCTTTCAGACTGCTTGGCCAGTCTTTTCGGTTTAGTCTTACTTTATACCGCCATCTTTTGGACTTGAAATATCATTTATACTTAAATTATATTTAGAAAACGTGCCTCCTGCCAAACTTAGGAACATCTTTTGCAGTTCTTTCCAGATAGCTAATTTCATTTATCCCATTCTCAGAGGGAAGGATTACTGATAAAGACATTGAATTGATATTCATACACATTTTTATTACCTACTCTAAAATTAAATCACATGGCTAAAAAAATTATCGTTTGACTTAAATTAACAATTACATTATGGCATCATTAATAACAACTTTAGATTAGAATGTCTCTTTTAAGATTTATTTAAAAATGCGCAAAAATTATTCTTTTTTTTCCCCCGTCCTTTAATTTTTGCGTTATGAAAGTGAAAAACTTGCCCATTTTTTTTTTATAATATAGAGAAAAATGTTAATTTTTTCGATAAAAGAAAACCACTTATTCTAGATAACACAGTTAGACAAATTTGTTCATACAAAACAATTTTTTTTTCTGTTGCATGATATTTATTAACGGATCCTTGATATTTTTAGGCTGCTCATTTCAAATCTGAAACCAGTTATCAGTTTCACTCCAAGCTACATTTTTTTTTTAAAAAATAACATTTTTAGTCTATTTTTTGTCGAAATGTTCAAGTTTATAAACATTATATAATAATAGGAGTTCGCGTAAATGTTACGACAAATTTCTAAAGGAGTTAGGGCACATCATCACGTTTAAATTGCATGGAAACCCATTTCGTCATACACAACTATAAGTTCTTCATGTGCTTCAGAAAAGGTCACAATAGGGAAGCGCCCCCAGCAGCTTACGACTAGTATCGAGCATGAATTACTATGCAATTATAATCTTGATGATGCGCCCGAACTCCTGAAGAAGTTTGTTGCAACATTTAAGCGACCCCCCGTTATTATATAATGTTTTTAAACTTGTACATTTCGAAAACAAATAAACTGAAAGCGTTATATAAAAATAAAAAAATAAAAAACTGTAGTTTTAGGAGCAAAACTAAATTCAGATTTTAAATCCCCCCACCCGAATTTGGCAAGCTAAAATATTTATATAAATGCAACAAAAAATTCGTTCTCCAGTGTAATTTTACGTCTGAAATGAATTTCGTTTTAAAAAGGAACTTAATTTTTTTAATAGATTTTATCAACTTAAAGACTACATTGCGACACGAAGTCAAAACAATTTCCCCGAATGATGAGAAAAATAACGAAGCACAGCACGCTATAAAGTTTAAAGTTAATTTAAGAGCAGGAAACAATATGATGAATCGACGACAATTGGGTCTGCGTTCGAGAATTCGTTCCTATTGCACCCTTGTAATTTTCTCACGCAACGCACACGAGATTCATCAAGCTCCTCATTAAAATCAAGCATGGAGAAATGGCCGCTTTCTTCAGTTTCAGGAAATTGAGAGGGAAAAGTTGAAAATACAGTGAAACTTCCAGGAAAAAACACTTTAGGGAGGCACGGAATTTTTTCTACAGATTTCAAATTATATATTTCT